GTTTCGTCCTCCACCGTGCCTCGGGAGCGATGCCACGGATCAATCTTGGAGATACGGCCCATAAAGCTCTGTACCTTCTGATAGAAGACAATGCCTGGTTGGTAGAGAACTTGAAAGAGGACAGCTTCAATATCACCATCGACAAGGTCATCTTTTGGTCCATCTTCTCCATCACCCTCAAAACTTGCCGGAGAGGCGTCAAACAGCATCAGCTCGTCGTCTTGAGCCAGAAAGAGACCGTCACCTCCACCAGACACGGCTCGGCCGTCGAGAATGCGGAACCACAAGAAAAACTGCTTCTCAACCGAGACGATGCCGCTCTTGTTCGCTTCTCGGAAGATCAGATACGCTCGCTTGAGGTGCAAATGAGCTGCCTCGAGCCTGCTTTCCACAATGTCGACGTAGGCCAGAAAGAAGAGAGAGATCAGCAGATGCTCTCTGTACTGGCTATGCTCGGTCAGAGAGGCCATGTCGAACGCGGCAAGCTCGGCGACGGCGCTTTCGTAATGGCCCTGATGAACAGCAGCCCATGGCCCTTCGGAGCGAACAATGAGGACATTAGAGAAGGCGAGTATCGCACAGCGCACCATTCTCGAGACACGGGCCATCTCAACTACGACGTGGCGCATGGCCAGCCACTTCTTCTGGGTCTCAACCTCGGCGAGCAATGGTGGATTGTTCGAGCGAGCAAAAAAGTCAAACAGACGATCGTCGTCACCGCCTGCTGGTGGCAGCAGCTGTAGTGGTTGGTGTTCCTGCTGGACAGCGCCCATGGTGTCAAATTTGTCGATGCCCGCTGATTCCAGGGAAGCGCTCATGGAGCCTCGATCCGGTGGCGGAAAGGGCATGACAGCATTGGCTGTTGTCAGCAGAGGACTGACCTGCTGCCAAAAGTCGCCCGAGTCCCACATGAAGCTCGCATAATCAAACACCTCATCGACGGCATGGCCCGGCAGAGAGCCAGGAGCATTGGGTGAGCTATCCGTGGCAGGAGAAGGAGGAACGGGACTGGTGACCGAGCCGCTCACGGCAGTCATCTGCCTTCTCTGCTGGCTGATGCTGGACTGGGGACGCCACTTGCACTCGAGGTTGAGTCGCTCGCAGTGGGAGCATCTGGGTCGCTGTTCATCACACTTGACCTTGCGGCGTCTGGGAGAGTCAGCGTGTGCGAGAGTGTGCTGAGCGGAGCAAGAGTAGACAGTCCAAGAGGCATTAATGAGATGATCAAAGCATCAACGAAAAGCAAGGGATGCAGGGCTGAGACAGCAAGAGACAGCAGCCGTTGACTCACTTGCATGTCAGACAGCCCTCGCGCGATCGGATGAATCGCCTGCCCGAGGAGGAAGGACCCGGACGCGAGGGCACGGCGGATGTGGAGGAACCGTTGGCTGTACCGATGGATTGGCTTTGATGGGGAACTGGCAGCTGGAGGAGTTGAGGTGTTGGCGTTTGCGTCAGGGGGTGAAGGCTAGGGGCTGCGCCTGCGCCTGTGCTTGTGCCTGTACTGGTGACGGTGCCGGTGCCGGTGCCGGTGCTGGCAGTGCTGGCGACGCTGGCAACGTTGATGCTGCCGCTGCCGCTGCCGCTGCCACTGCCGCTGCCATTGCCATTGGCGTCTTGCATGGCGACGATGCTGCGTCGTCGCGCGAAGCGGAGTGAATGCGGGTGTTGTCGCTATGGGGGCAGATGCATGATCTTGGGAATCGTTGTCGTGTTGGAGATGGGTCAGAGGCCGAAGCTTAGACTCGGGGCAAAGACTGGAGAATTTCTGAGGAGACGACCCTGACGGGAGTGTGACTCTGGAGAAATCGGCCCATGTTTTGCGGGGAAGCAGCGACCCAGACCAGGCACCACCATAGTCCGAATAAAGAAGGAAGAAGCCAGGACAGGGTCTTCCTGCCCACTCCGTCGGAGAAAGGGCCCTGGCAGTGACTTCCTCTCGAGGCCCCACCGACGATAAAAGGCACTAATGCCAGACATGAAGAGGGGCAGAGGGGCAGCGGGGCAGGAGACATCCATCACGTGTGGGAAATACCCGAACGAGCTCTGCAATCAGCGCAATGGACCATGGACGGACCTACCTTCCTCACCCCTTCAATCAAGCTCGGTCAGCCGCAACAGACGAGTATTGCAGTATCACCCCCTGTTGATTGATTCTCAAAGGCTTCCTAGGGTGGTAGGTATAGATGATAAGTCCTCGCGAACAAATGATACAAAATTATCTGATTGCCCCCCCCCCCCCTTGAAAAGATGACCCCAACTCCGTGACGGGCGTCACAAATTGGCAACGCCGCAAGAACCCAACCTCTTGCTGCCTCCTCATCCTTCTTGCGAGCTCAGACGACTGTGCCACCAGAAGGCGGCAATGTTACACCCTCAAGCCGGTTCACGTTGGACCTTGTCTTTGCAGAATGGCACCCGAGTGCGGAGTGAACTCACTTAGCCCTTTCATTGGAAGACGGAGGGCTGATGTTGGGCAACCTGATAGAGTTTTCTCACGGTAAATCCCGCCGACCAGGCGGACGAAGTCCAAGTTGACTCAGGTGTGTGGGGAAACGGTGACCCCGTTAGATGATTTGCGGGAGCACCCGAGCACCACCAAGCTCACTAACAACGGCGTTTCAATAGCGGACACTAACCGAAAACTTCCGGAAGATCTTCCCCAGTCCGGAGTTGTGGTGTATCACGCCTTGATGTCTGGTGCCGGATGGGTGGTTCCTGGGCAAGCCCGCGGGCACTCATTCGCCAGTCTTGTGGAGGAACGGGTCCCTCCTGAAAAGCTTGTCCATCAAGTTGGTAATTTTGGACTAAGGTTGGTCACTATTGTCGGTAGCGTCGAAGATCCCTCTGAGCTCCGAAACCAGGGGGCTCTGTACCTGAAAAGTATCCGAATATTGGTCACCGTGAAGAGCCAGCATCAACGTCCATGCTCCCTCCATCAAGCATGCGTCACATCAAAGTACGATAGGTTCTACTAGATGCTCAACCCTGTTGAGTAAACAGAGAATCTCAGGACTGCTGAGGCCAATAATCCCCCCGGCCCCATGGCCCTAAAGCCTAACAAGGCCAGACCCCCATAACAGACGAACAACCTACTCCTAAACCGCGAGGGATCTAGTATGACATAATTCGCATTCGCGAAGTTAGCGCAGTGTAGACCTAGACATTTTCGAGGCGACAGCCGGTGCGGGCATCTTTTGCCTCTCGAGCATATCCTGGCGTTTAAATGCAAATATCATCATCATCAATAGGATGGATTGCACCGTATTTTCCATCTACCTCGGTTCGAGGACGTACTCCATCCCAAGGAAGATATGTCTCGTATGTACTTGTTACCTATTTGCTACGTGACCGGAGATCACGCTCGAGAAACGTCGAGAGTATGTTTGGATGTCGCCAACCAGCTGACTAGCGTCTAGGATGACGGTGGCACAGGTCGACATGATACGAATCTCGGCTCTTCTTCAAGGGTCACGTAGTTTCACTCACTAGCAACGGCACCGCATAACTTTTGCTCTTTTCCGTTCTTGATTGAATTCCATGTAGTTATGCTATCATTACCTTAAATTGCCAAGCGCCATTCCAACCATCAACACCTAACGCCACGAATCTTCATCGCGCGCAATGATTGTCTGTGAACATGTCGATCGCTTCACCCTACGCAACGTACAGCAGACAAAAATGGGTCTACTCCTTGTCAGGCCTCCGGTTCGTCCAGTCCCATGAGTCGGCGATGGACTTCCAGTAGCACTGAGGATGCATGCGCATATGGCCGACGTGGCCGCTGCCCTCGAACATCTCGACCCGTATCTGGTAGCCCTTCTGCCTCGATTCGGCAATATACATCTCTATATCGTCCGACGTGATGAGATCGTCCTCCTTGCTGTAGAGATACAGCCTCCTGGCCTCCCTCGTTTCGAAATTCTCATCGTCGATGACACGCAGGGCGAAGGCGCCGGCGGCTTCGCGGCCAACACACCAGCCGGCAAACACTTTAACGGTCAGAATGAAACCCCATATACACTGGGTGACGCCAAAGGGCCAGGGGAACCGGTTGGCGGTACTGATAGTCACAGCGCGCGACCAGCGCTGCAGCGAGGGCCAGGTTAGCCAGGGGCTGCCAGGCGTAGAGTCGAAGACGAGGAGCTGGTGGGGCATGGGTCTGCCATGGCGGCCAATTCTTCCAATACATTGCTCTCAGACGGCAACCACGCCAAGCGAGGATGCGACATGTCATCGTCCGAGAATACTCCCGGCTCGGCAGTCTCCGTCTTTGCCCCGGAAGCTTATGTCCGTCCATGTGACGGAGGTGCATTTCAAGAGTATTGTCCTGCCAAGGTCCTTGTCGCGCTAGCAGATATCAGAGATACCAACAGTAACATCGTCCGAAAATCATCAGCGCCTGGTACCCTATAGCATCAGGCTTCATCTTCCCCTGTAGGTGATTTCCTATAAGCGACCACAGCACTGAAGCTCGCTAGAATCTCATCGAGTTACAGGAAGCACGAAGTACTCAAGGTATCTGTGATAGTGGCGTGCTGTTACCTTGCTAGCGGCAGACAGAACTTTTGAAATACACTTCCGTAGTGGCCCTCAGTTTCTGGTGTTCGAGTTATTGTGGCATGTGATGGCGCTATTGGGGTGGCTGGTATTAGCTTTTGCGCCTATGCGAAACAAGCAAGCATATCCAATCCTGTCAAGACTTGTCTCAGCCACGGGCCTTTGCTGTTCTGATGAGGCTTGTAAGCAGCGTACTTATTGGCTTAAGCCACGGCGGCCGGCTTCTGGCCTCTCAGTCACCCGGAAGGCCAGAAGGCAAACAGAAAGAACGAAGGCCATATGATTTCTCCTGGTCATAGCCTGGCCATCATCCATGCCATCCTATCATTCATTGCTCATAAGGAGGTGCAGTGAATGCTAGGTAAGCTGCTACACTTCGAGTTTCCTCACCTTCTCTCCTTTGGTACTGCTTGACCGAACTTATTCTGGGTTTGCCCATTATGAACGATGACGGTTCTCTGTCGCACGACTCGTTGGGGCCGCGGGCTCTAGCTATCGTCACACCCTTTTTCGTTCTTGCCATCCTCATTTTCTCAGTAAGAATCTATACTCGCGTAACTCCGACACATAAGCTGGATGCCTCGGATTATACGATCTCGATCGCAATCGTGAGTAAAGCAACTGGCACGGATGAGTATACAAGACGCTGACCGCCGACGCAGCTCTTCGAAGTAGTCATTTACTCGCTCTTCGCAATTACCGTTGCTTCTGGATTTGGCCGTCACAGCTACGATGTAACCCCAGAGCAGGGTGTCAAGATCCTTCGATATGTATATATGGTTGTCTTGCTGACGCCCTTTGTACCAACCCTTACCAGGATATCCGTCGGGTGTCTACTACTGAAATTCGCCCGGACCACGACGTGGCGCGCATTCATCTGGTTTACTATCTGCATCCAAGCTGCCTGCGCCATTGGCACGGAAGTTTTTCAGTTCCTGCAGTGTCGGCCGATTAATGCCCATTGGGAAGAAGTTCCGGGTGCCCGGTGTTTCAGCGCGGAGCAAATTTGGATATGCGGCTACGTGATCGTAGGTAAGTATCAGGGAATGATGCGCCTGTATTACATGATGCTAATTTTCCTGGAAGCAGCTGCCATGTTCGGCGATTTGACGTTGGCAGTCATGCCAATGTTCCTGATTTGGAAGCTGAGTCGATCAATCGTGGAACGTTGTCTTCTCACCTTCTTGATGGCGCTTGGTCTCGTTGCAACCACTGCCGTTGTCATGAGGGTCGTCATCATGCACACCTTTGACTACACTTCCCCTGAAAAGTACCGAGATTTAATACCGATGTACTTTTGGATTCGAATGGAAGAGGTTATTCTGATAATAGCTTCTTCCGCGCCGCTACTCAAGTCCCCAATTGAGCATGCTCTCCATCGGTTCGGCGTACCTACTTTCCAGCACAGGACGTGGGAACTGAACTCGTTTCACTCTGTCCACATGTCCAAGGCACCACGCTTGCGCCATCATCGGTCGCAACAGGAGCTATTAGAATCCAGGCAAAACATCGCTATACATGAGCGACGGCTTGAAGCATCCGAGGACAGTCCACGCATCAATCCATTAACATCGAAGGCGGGGGAGACGGGAGTGAGCGAGGTAACGGAGCAAGTGGGATGATAGGGAGCAGTTGGAGAGAGCAAAGAGCTATTACCAGACCCACAGTGGATGGCGGGGCAGGTGTCAGAATCAACGTCATGAACAGAGTGAAGAGGTCTTCAGTTGCCGCGCCACAGTCCGATTGTAGGGGTCCGCAGATAGAACAGCTGAACTCTGGCCTCCTCCTGCTTAGGAGCGAGGCTCTCAGCAGCTGATATACCCAGTTGTGCTACCTTTCGCACTTGACTCGTATGTCCGCATCCGTCAGGCCCTGACAGCAGGTCCCTCGGCGGGGTCACGATCTGTCTCGGCGAGCTATCGGTGAGCCATTATCACTTGCAGGCACAATGGAAATTTGCACCAAGGAGCTACCCGAAGGCTTTCCCTCCGTAGCAGTAGGATACGAGACAACACGGACAAACCAAAGACGGACAAACCCTAACACCGCTACTAGCCGATGACTAAACTCCTCTTCACCCTCGTGCGTCGACAGCAGGTTATATACCAGTAGCCGAAGTAAGGAAGCTGAACATCTGGAGGATAGTTTCCACTGATGATGATGGTGATTACCGTAAAGCTTGTCGTCATTCCTTAAGTTACTGTCTCCAGATGTGGAAGCGGTTCCCCGAGGTGATCAGCTTCGACAACACATAGAATACCAACCGCTTCAAGCTTCCCTTATTCTAAGCAACGGGACAGACATGCCTTGGTTCCGTCTACAGAGCTGCCTTCGTCCTAGATGATAACGAGAGACGCGAGGGGTTTCAGTTCTTTCCCAGAGTATTCGACAATTAGCAGAGCAGCACTCGATTCGACAACCGGATGTCATCATCACCGATTTCGACAACCGGATGTCATCAACACCGATTTCGACAACCGGATGTCATCATCACCGATTTCGACAACCAGATGAAAGCCGTTCTCGACGATCAGTTCCCTGAGGTGCAGCAGCAGCTCTGTATCCACCACATCAATTCCAACGTCCTTCTCAAGGCAAAGAAAAAGTGGCTGAAGGGCCGTAACAGTGTTAGTCCCGATAGCAGCGACGATGCAGAGGCCTCTATTTCACAGACACAAGCTGAGCTGAGCCCTAAAGACCGACAGTTCATCCATGCGCCAGCAGCTGAGGCCATCCCTCCCGGTGGGGCTTTGTCTTCGGTTGTTAGTTCTAGTGGTGTAGCATAGATTGATAATCTGGTCTTGTCTAAGGCCAAGACCTACGCGAGGCAACGTTTGAGGCGAGGTGGGAAAAAGTGCTCCTTGATGTGCTCTGGTGGGGGCGGGAAGAAAGTCGTAAGCAATTCTTCCGCTTGCTCTTTGCCGTTGGTCGTCCGTGTACTATTAGCCTTTATAAGCTACGGCACCTTGCCGAATACCGCGTCGTCGCCCGACTTGAGATACTTGGCGGCCTTCTAGATATTGTCGTTGTCGGCTAGAAAGTCGTTCTAATAGGTTTTCTTCTGTTGTCGAATGGCACCGTAGTATTGTTTCGATGCTCCCTTAGCCGTGTTCTCTAGTGCTTCATCGTTCCGTCCTGCCCGTCTCGCTGCCCTCGCCCGGTTCCTCTAATATATATAGATATAGTAGAGCTACGTAAGATCCGCCGTTTACTACCGCTTCGTATATAGCGATGGTTTAGCTTTTAGTATTAAGGCCTATACTACTTCTAGTACTACTAATATAAGTCTATCCGTCTTCTCTTAAACCGTGCCTTCTATCGGGGCTATCTCGAGTACAGTGGAAATTCGAGTATTGATTTTATTCTATAGCGCGTTCTTATATAGAGGTCGGTCCTGCATTTTCGGGGCCGGCACTAATATATTAAAAATCGTTTCGATAGTATAGTAGTCCGACCTATGCTCTATTCTATTCGTCGTATACTTAATTATAGCCGTAGCTAGGTCTTCTAATACTAGTACTAGGTCGATTATCGACTCGTAGTCCCCGCCTTACTAAGTCTTCGTACCCCTTAGGAGTATACTATAGAGGGAGAGCTCGTTTATTAGGTCGATGATATTATCGGCTTTACCCTATCGTACCGGAGATATATCGTCTCCTCCCTATAGTTAATCGTAGCGATTAAAGTCGCCCGTAATAACCACGTCTACTACCTCTCCTATAGCTCTCCTAGCGTCCGCGACCGCTCTATATATAGTATTGCACGCTTCCTATAATGCTTAGGTATCTATCCCCTATACGTATACGGATACTATTAGTACTAGTTTCCCTAGAAGCTATAATAATACTACTATTATATCCGGAGACTCTATCCGTACCTATTTAGCCTCTAAATCCTTCCTTACCTAAAGTATACTTCGGATCGCTTATCGTCCTTCCCTAATCATTAATAGGACTATCTTTATCTATCTATAATATCCTATTAGCATCGTTAATAGCCGTCCTTTAATTATCTATACTTATAGTTCCTAGATCGCTAATACCGCTATATCCTGAATATCCTCGTCGTTTATAAGGCTCTCGTGAACCTCGCTACGTTTTCGTATATTAAGTTAGATTATTCGGAGCGTACTTATTACGACCTAGTAGCTTCTGAAGGGGGAATATTATTAGAGGGTTAGGGTTATTATTTATAGAAGCTTAGGTTATAATTCTAAGACGATATAGTATCGTAAAGCGTTATATATTTATTATAATAGATATAAAGTAAGACTTAGATTAATTATTATCGTAAGAAAGAATATATCTATAAGTACTAAATACCTATCCTTATATACCTATTATTCTATCCTTATCGTCTTAGGTTAGTAAGTCTATATTAGATAGCTTACTTTTCTTATCGTAATCTTATTACTTAGGTTATAGTATAGTTAATAATTAGATTACTTTAAGAATCGTGATCTAGTTACGGTTACGTAAATGATCCTATAGGTCCGTATAGCGCGTCCGATCGCCTACGGGGTATCCTGCCTAGTATCCTAATAACGACCGGGCTAGGGCATTATATAATTCTCCTCCTCTAGGTCGATATCCTAGCGACCTTTACTTATAAACGCTATACCCTAAATAATTATATCCTTTAATTTATTCTTCCTTTATAATATTAATAAAATATTAAATCGTATTAAAAAATTAAAGTCCTTATTTACTTAAAAGCGATAAGAATAATTTAATTTTATTAAGCTTCGTAGCTATAACGTTATATTATATTCCTTTTATTAATAGAAGGGTTAGAAGTATTATATAGTAGAGGGCATTAATCGCTACTCTAAATACGTTTATCGCGGTCGCTCCTATAATAGTTTAGGGGTACTTATTAACGCTTATAAATACTTATAATAATATCTCTCTCGCTTTCTTAATCCGCTAATCTATAATAGTATCTCGTATTACCTAGGAGCTAGGTAAGCTAGATAAGAAGGAGCTAAATAAAGAGGTACGTTTAGAGGAGCTATAGTCTTAAGTAGCGGAAGCTCTTAATCGTTTAAAGCGCCTTTATATTTAGAAGCGATCTCTTTATAAAAGGGGTATAAAGATAGTAAATTAAGGGTTATAGTCTCTAGATAAATTAGATTCCGCGGAGTAGGAGGAATCTAAGGCCGTAATAGCTATATAAGCGGTTAGGGGTTTCGGGGTTATTAATTAGAGCGCTTTAGGCTCCTTTAACCTAGAATTATTTAATTTCTTTAAGATTAATAATATTACTTTAATAATTATAAATAATTTAAATTCTTAATTAATTCTTATATATTTTCTTTATATTTATAGTTTTTCTATTTAATAAAGTATTTATTTTATTTATTCGTTTTTCTATAATCGATAATTCTTTTAATTTTATATTTATTTATATCTTCTATTTCTATATTAATTATAAATAATATATTTAATAGTATTAATTCTAAAAATATTATATAAAAAACGGGGTAAATCTTTATATTCTCTAATAATAAGAGGTAATAGTTAATATTTAAGAGTTTCTTAAGAATTTTAAAAAGTCCTAATTTCTTAAAGTTTAATTTATCGTTTAATCGTTTAATTTTAATATTTTAATAGATAAAGTAGATATTACCTCTTTCTTATAAGGATAATCCCTTTATCCTTATTCTATTAGCGTATATAGTTATTCTAATATATATAAGTTTAAAGTCGAGTGTTACGACCTGGCAGCTTCCGAAGGGGGAACACTGCCAGAGGGTTGGGGTTGCTGTTTGCAGAAGCTTAGGTTGTGACTCTGAGACGATGTGGTGTCGTAAGGCGTTGCGCACTCGTTACAATGAATACAAGGTAAGACTTAGATTGATCACTGTCGTGAGAAAGAATGTATCTACAAGTCCAGAATGTCCGTCCTTATATACCTGCCATCCTGTCCTTGTTGTGTTAGGTGGTGAGCTCATGTTGGATGGCTCACTGGTTAGTTGTTGGTGATCCATGATGTTAGGATCACGGTGTGTTATCCCGTGAGCCATTCCCTGGCTCACTGCGGCGTCCTTGGTGAGCCCGACGACTCACCCTTTATGTCTGAGTGAGCCATCACGTGATTTGCCAGGTGGGCCCGATTCTTATCTTATCGCGCTCCCTGATCGCGGGGTCGTCGATTCGCGGCCGCCCTGCTTCCTTGGTTGTTACATGATGCTCCTCCTCCAGGCCGATGTCCCAGCGGCCATAAGTAGTAAGTCCCAGCCGCCTGCGGTGGTTCTTCTCTTGTCATCCTTACTAACCATGACAAAATGTCAGGTCGTGTCATAAAACGTTCGTCTGCCAAAACCGACCAAAGAAAGGCGCTCGCTGCTTTGATTGACTCCGAGGGCGAAATCAAGATGCCTTGTACGGGGTGCTTCAAGCGACATCTCGTCTGTAAGACCGCCCCTGGTTCTTCTCGCTGTGGGGAGTGCATCCGTCGCGGTCGCTCTTGTGATGGTGTGAGCGTGGTTTCTGCGCGTAAGTTGGTCCCTGGTGGGGTCATGGTCCTGTTTTCTAATGATCGTCTAGTGGAAAAGGCTCTTGCAGAGCAGAAGAAGCGAGAGGCTGAGATTGAGGATGCTGAAATGGAGTTGGAGGTGCTCCAAACGAAGTTGGCGACGGCCTTGGGTCGTTTGTCCCGTCTTCGCAAGATGCGGAAGGCGGCGAAGGCTCGTGGGGAAGAGTTGTTTGCTCGTGGGATTCGTCAGTTGGATGAGGAGGACGGCGTCCTTCCTCTGGGCGGGGACAACCTAAGCCTCGAGGCTCAGGAGGCCAACGTGGTTCAGGACCTTCAGGAGTGGGGTGCTAGCGGCGTCGTGGACTGGTCCTCGTTGGGCTTCGGGGAGGAATTTTCCGACCTTGGTCCTGTGCCAGGCGATGATATTCTTGGAGCAACTGCGGGCAGTTCAGGTTCTTGACTGGTTCCCATGTGTTTTCTTCATGCCCATAGTTCTTCCATTTGATCAAGTATTCTTCTTGTTTGCTTATCTTTCTGTGATCGAGGATTCTTTCGACTTCATACTCGTTGGTATTTTCGACTTCCACGTTTGTTTCGAGTGGTGCGTTATGTGGTGCTGGCTCTAGTAGTGCAATGTGAAAAACGGGGTGAATCTTCATGTTCTCTGGTAATGAGAGGTGGTAGTTGGTATCCGAGAGTTTCTTGAGAATTTTAAATGGTCCTAGTTTCTTGAAATCCAATTTGTCGTTTGGTCGTTTGGTTTTGATGTTTCGGCGGATGAGGTAGACGCTATCTCCCTCCTGTAAGGATGGTCCCTTCATCCTTGTCTTGTTGGCGTACGTGGTCATTCTGGTGCGTACGAGCTCGAGGTCGAGCTTGATTTGTTCCTGGATCTTGCGGATGTTGACCGCAATGTTGGTCGCTTTTGGCGTGTCCGGTGCTTCGCGGCGTTCCGCGTAGGCTGTTGGGTTGTACCCGTAGTTGGCATAGAAGGGTGATTCCTTTGTTGACTCGCTTGGTGAGCTGTTGTATGCGAACTGTGCGATGGGTAGTAATGTGACCCAGTCATCTTGTTGGTAGTTGATATAACACCGAAGGTACTGCTCTAGAGTCTGGTTCGTTCTTTCTGTCTGTCCGTCTGTCTGCGGGTGAAAAGCCGTGGATAGCTTATGTTTGGCTCCAAGTTGAGCGATGAGTGACTTCCAGAAGTTGCTGGTGAAGAGCTTGTCTCTATCTGACACCAGTTCTTTTGGGAGTCCGTGTTGTCCCACAATGTTCCTGAGGAACACATAGGCGAGGTCTTCTGCCG